AGATGTGTATTTCAAGACTTCTGGATACTCCACTGGGCTTGACAACAAATGGATCACGATATTCTTAAGTAGAACAGCCGATATCATTGTAAACATTACCAACCTAAAATTGGACAGAGTAGTTTATGAAATAAAACAGCATATCTCACACAAAACTTGCAACTACTGTATATAATTTTATTTGAAAAGCAATCTGTTATTTATATTTTATATATACTTGTTGCAGATACTTACTCTATTCAAAGATGTAATTCTTGTTGGTTTACCACAAACACCTCTATCAAATTTCATTGGGCATTCTGTAAATTTAGTCCATCGGCATCTAATAGTATCAGTAGTGTCGGGATCCGTTGCTGGCGAGAGAGATAATAATCAATTAGTATATCTCAACGTGATTTCCTTCATGTTAATAATTCAAAAGTAAACAAAAATGTAATCACTCATTAATCTTTTAACTCTTAGTTAATAAATTCCGCAATGCACAGTCAATCAATATCAATTAATGGCAATCAAGTAATGGCAATCGCAATTAATAGAAAGTTACTGTATTCTTCATTCCACTCATGCTCATATTGTACGTTCAGTGGTAATTCTTTCACGAAAAAAAAATGTAGGTTTAGCAACAACTTAAATTTAGCGTGGAGTTGAATAGCTTGGTGGTTAAGGTGCTTGCCTTCAAATTCCATAGTCCTGGGTTCGATTCCTGTCCGGTAATAGGATTTTTCCTCAAGACCAAAAACAGGTCCACTCCTATATTTGTCTCACATTGAGACTTACTCCACGCAAAGCATCTTGTGTGTATGTGTGTCTTGTGAAGGGATTGATTTTGATTTATTCAATATGCTCTTTAAAAAATGCATAACAGAAACAAATGAACATGAACAGATTCAAAGGCAGACTAGAAAACATTGGAAAGAAAACGGATATGGGGTCTTAAAAGGCTTAAACCTATAAATTAATCCCATCAATCCTAAGAGTAAGTGTAATCACAAAGAGCATATCGGGGAGAACCCTAAAATTGCAAAAAAAAAAAAAAAAAAAAAAAAAAAAAAAAAAAAAAAAAAGTCAATTATTTTTATAGGGGTCCCTACATGAACTAAACTTTAAATGAACTAAACGTGAAATGAACAAATTATAAAGATTAAAATGACACCAGAAATAGGTACTTTCGTGTTTGGTATATCCTTAATTTGAATAATTAAATAAATTCAACAAACAACTTTTTGGGGAAATAAACTAACTTACGACTTAAATCAATGACTTTCCTGCAGCCTTTGCGAACTCGGTATACTGGAAGGCCAGCCGTTATTCTCGGAGAATTGTTTTCAATTGTGGTATCGACATCTGTGAGAAGAGACCAGCAAATTCCTGACCCGTAATTTCGAAGATTTAACCAAGTACTATCAGCACATCCGTATTTTGTATGGTAACTGTTAAATAGAAATAAATGTTTATTCAGATAATTTTGGTAGATAACTTGTCGAATTTATTCTTTTAAGAAAAATCCCTACTATTGTTTACTTTCTGTCGCTTTAATAAAACAAATATTCGTATAAAATTGAGATGGAGAAACCATGATATGAAACAGCAGTTTTATAGTATAAAAAAAAACATTTCAATCTATTTACTCACATCATTTGAAAGATCGGGGTATCTGCGTGGAATATTGTGGATCCTATGAGAATACTCCAACTCATTTTCTGACTAATGGAGGCGCACTCCATACTGAGTGGACTCAGAATGTTCTTAATTTGAGGACAGTCATTACATTCAAGAGCAAGTTTAGTCTCAGCTACAAGTTTCTGACCAATGTGGGTGCAGTAGTACTCCGGATAGTAATTGGTCAGTTGAAAGGCCATTCGCCAGTACACTTTAATCTGATGGAAACAGAAAGGGAGAAATGTTCCACTTTGTGGTCACTGTGAAGATGAAGGCTATTAGAGTAGAATTTCTTCTGTGGGTGACAGTCCAATAAGGGGACACTTGGGGAAAAATGTGCAACTACTTTTTTTGGTCTCTGTAAAGACGAATGTTATTTTAGTAAGACACCTTCTTTAGGAGACCCCTATTCAGAGGACATTCCTACTAACAGAAGTCCTATAGTCTCCCACAACCCGCGGGAGTCTTCCGGAAACGGGACAGCCCCTGCACTCATACATCAAGCAAGAAACTTTCAGAAAATAACCCATCTCTCTAAATTTGTCAAAATTTTTTTTTTTTAAATGAGAAAAAAAAAATTATATTTAAATTTAAGTCTGAGGGTGCCATTTCCGGTAATCTAGAGGTGCCATAATCTTAAATTCTCTTACCAGAGCCCCAACCATGGGTGGGGCTGAGGTGGTCTGCACCTTGTGAAACTCCCTATTCTTGAATCCCTTTCATTTAAAATTACTTGATCCACCACTGCAGACCTCCTGGAATTGACTTTGTCTAACTTGGGACCCCTGATGTACTAAGGGGATACTTTTACTATTATTAAGGGACACGTTGGCGGATCTGAGGGGTGTCGGGGAGGTCATTAAAAGACCCTCCGCCATTTAGGAATCCAAATTTTCCAGGTGGAGGACCCTGGACCTCCCATTCTTTTTGGGTTTCATCGATTCATGGAAAAAGGAATACGTATGTCACTACTATTTTTTTAATGTATGTATACACCCACAATAGGCCTACTGTGATAAGAATGAGAAAGTTTACCTGACCGTTTCCAAGGGGAAAACCTGAATTTTGAAGAACTTGAAAGTCATAGAAACCTCAGATCTAGGAATCAAAATATTTCCAGGGGAGGAACCCTGGAACCCTTTCTTTTTAGGGTTTTGGAATCATTGACCTGCCCCTCCCCCGCCCCACCAAAAAAAAATGAAACCAGATCCTCCCCAGGAACATGCCGTATTAAGGTGTCTGAACACTTTTGAGTGTGGCAAATTCAATCAATTTAAAGGGCACATGTATGTTTTTTATGTTCATGGATTAATGATATACAAACTTTTCTTGGTCTTCAAAGTATTAGCGCACTGGGTCAAGTCTTCATACATTTGAGTTGGGCTTTGTTGTTCTTATGTCCATTTTGGATAGGATAGAAATCTTTATTGGTCATGTTATTACTTTCATATCTCTTCACAACATGAACTTCACTAATCACCCCTAAGCACCTGTTCGCCTGTGGAAGGTAGGTGTGTATCCCGTTCATTCGCTCGAGCCAACTAGGTGGGGTTCGGGATTGCGCTAGGGTGGTGGCGGATGGTGCCCCCCTCAAATCAGAGATTCTGCATTTTTATCTTTCTTTATTATTATTATTATTATTATTATTATTATTATTATTATTATTATTATTATTATTATTATTATTATTATTATTATTATATAAACTAGATTAATTCCTTGTTCGTGTAATTTCTAATGGGATTCATAACCTGATTCCTAACTCATTATTAATTCACATGTTACTCATTTTGTGCATCCAATAAGGAGCTCAATGTGGTAAACAGGTTCATCATTTGTTGATAGCTTCATTAAATATGAAGCAATTTCTGTTGATTCAATTATCTTTGTGTTGATTTTATTATCATAAATTGTTGCAATTCTATTGTAACGGGTCTTCGGGTAAATTAAGTTAAAATTTATTTTTTAAAAATCTGTCATCGTTGTATGTCTGCCAAAACTCCTAATTTGTTTGAGGGACAATCTGACATTTTTCGGATAGTGCTTTGTTATCATCATGTCAATTTGATGAATTTGAATTTGAATTATTTGATCATTCATTTAACTAAAATTATAAAGAATCTACGGTATGATTGTAGGACTGTGTGTCAAAGGGACATTTTCGCATTTTCGTTTAGTGTCCCCTAAATAGGGGTACTTCATTTATGAAACCTGTTTTGGCACTCGAATATGAACCCTTAATAGGGGTCAATGCTGCATTGTGTCATCAGCATCATCGCCATCCTTAAAGTATTGTTAATATAATATGCACTTATGTATCCATGGAGGAAAGAGGCTTTCTTTTTTTAATCATCTTTACTTACAACATCTGAATAGCATCGTCAGTTTTTGCAACTTGTATACCTCTTAGTGTGATAAGTGTGTATACAGGTATATTAAGGGGCGTTTATTTGAGTACACGTATTTTATACCAAAAAATAGATCAATAAACCTCTCCTTTTATTAATTGCTTCCCTCAAAAACGCCCCCTCAAAACCCTTCTTATCAGATAAATACGGTAAATATATTTCAACTTGTATGCCTCTTAGTGTGATAAGTGTGTATACAGGTATATTAAGGGGCGTTTATTTGAGTACACGTATTTTATACCAAAAAATAGATTAATAAACCTCTCCCTCTATTAATTGCTTCCCTCAAAAACGCCCCCTCAAATTATCAGATAAATACGGTAAATATATTTCACTTGTTTTGCTAATATACAATTTGTATAAGTTAAGATGTTTGTATGTCGCGTCTGTTGAATGCCACCCACAAATGAGGTGTTAATAGATTATTATTATTATTATTATTAATATTATTATTATTATTATTATTATTATTATTATTATTATTATTATTATTGTTATTGTTATTGTTATTGTTATTATTATTGTTATTGTTATTATTATTATTATTATTATTATTATTATTATTATTATTATTATTATTAATGTGCACTTCATAACCAAACCATCAACATTAGAATATAATTGATTCTCTTCGATCATCATTATCATCTGCTTGTTGCTATTTTTTTTTTTTTTTTATTGTGTCTGAGTTTCTCTGAGACAATTTTAATAGCGCGCGTTTATTGAGGCTGCGGATTATTTTTGTCTGTTTATGAAGATATTGTTTTGAGTAAAACAAGTTCTTACCTTTGATTCACTTATTTTGTCCCAATAAAAAGTTCCTCCTCGGTAATGTGTAGCAGCTACTACCTGAAGCAATACCACCGCGCTCACTAATGTTATCCTCATTTTGTTCATCTAAGAAACCGCCTAACGAAAATAAAGTGGATATAATTCAACGATGTTATAACATCAGCTATTATGCGTACATTCATGCTTATTCCTTATAGCGATACTTCCCACATACCTATTACAGTAATAGTTATATATGTACAATTTAAAAAAATATATATAATTTTTTACGCAAATATTAAGAGATATACAAAGATTCTTACAGCTAAGAAACACATACTATCGCAGTAACGCATGAAATGATGCAGCTTTGCGGTATTTTTCTGTGTCGATGTAATATTCAAATGAGTCGATGATTTATGATAGGCAATTATCTACTATTGGGGGCGTACTGCCAATAATCTAGTTTTCTTTTCTCTTTCGAATACTCTCTCTCCTCCCTCTTTCTAGGTATGGTCTTTCGTAAAAGATCAGTAGCAAGGAATCATGCATGTTGTGTTGGACGTAATTTTAGTGGCAGAGGTCAAAACCTTTGAACACTCAAACAATGATGCCCTTTTTTCATTAGTTTTTGCAGCTTAATGATTTAGCAGAAGTTCAAAATTAAAAATTGAATATATCTTATTATCCTATTGGCCCAGCTGCCTACGATGGAAGTAGCAGAAAACTACCGGTAATTTACCAGTATTTTCAAAATTATTAATGCGGTGGTTTAACCATTTAAATATAATGCAATCAAATTAATTTAACATATTGTATTTATGTGAATTTAAATTTGCAGATCGAATGAATCCTATACTTTAACCATACCTTACCTGTGAAATTGAACTTAAGTTGATTCTCTTAAGTTGATATGGAAGGAATTGAATACGAAGCAGAGTTATATCCTCCACCTCCGGCCGTTTGCAAACTGCGTCTTTTAAACTTGTACGATCAATAGGATTTGTTCAATGGCGTTCCATTTAAGAATCACACAGAAACTAACAACCTACTGGGAATATTGAGGACGTAGGCCTACATTGTAAAGGTCAATTCCAATTCAATTATTTCCAATTGTCCTCCTGAAAAAATGTTATTGGCGACATTTTAACAGTTTTGTTCATATGTTCGTATATTTCATGATGAATAGGCCTATGGTGATAATTTTACTATACAATTTCTGAAATGGTCAGTAATATAATTGTAAACAACTTTTATATCATTAAGCGACATTTTCCAAACAATTGAAACCTGTCTAATTCGCTTAACATTAGCTAGATTAGGCCTGTATATTTCATACACCCACAAACACACATACATATTAAATATACAAATACAAATAGTTAATGAGAGAAACAGTGCTCAATTTTAGGAACAAACGATCTTATAAAAGATGAGGCATAACCAATCAACCTAGAAGTTCCTTAACACTTGAATGAAAAAAAATGTCTCCGGCGAGATTCATGCACACCATCTCTCGCTGAAAAGGCAAGCGTCACACCCATAACCCATCAATATGTCTCTGGCATTCGAACCATTTATCATAATTTTAATACTACTATTTTTTAGGCTTCTTTATTGTTTTATTGTAATCCATTAATCATGTCATATTAGAAATCCAAACATTGGACTTAACTTGAATAAAGAATGTTTGAAGAAGAATGTGTGTATACTTAATTACTTATATAGGTCTATATATCATGCGGGTTTAAGGTGTAATATATATATCATGATATAATATAATAAACTATAAACAATCTTATGAATTATATATATATATATATATATATATATAT